AACTGAAATATAATTTTAGGAAAACTGCCTTGGTTGACAGTGTTGCTCGGCGTTGAAGTAGATGTCATTGAGGAAGTACTAGGAACGCTTGTTGTTAGATTTGAGCTAGAATCCATCGAGCAGTCACAGAAAGGATAAGGGGAGCGATTGTATCACTGCACGGTGTCAACCCTATTGGTTAAAAATTCGCCATTTGCATAGTGTGACAAAATGCTTGTGCGTTTCGTACGTACTACAGCACTACGCTGTGATACAGGACCCGAATAAAATATCCAACTTTCACAACCCTAAGTAAGGCTTTTATATTAGAGGGTTTGGCGGAAAACTAATCCGTAAAAATAATAAAACAGACGACGTCGTAAAATAAAGTTGGTTTAAATTTTAATTAATTAAAAAAGTTTCGAGTTTGAAAAGCAAACAGTTTCTTAAGGAAAAAACGAAAAATTCGGATGACCATTTTGTGTATAAAGTGCCGTTACCAATAAAGCGATCAGTTATGAAGAATTAATAAAAATTATAAACTTAATTTTGTTCAATCAAATGCTGTCCTTCATTATTATTATTTCAAAGCATGGTTTTTAGATGACACGTACCATATTGTGCGGTCAATGGAAATCCTAGCGAACGTAGCATATTATTTCAATGTCTCCACTTGAGCACAAAAGTCAATTTAGATTCTACACGGAAATATCCGTAAAGTTAATAGTTTTTTAACTAAAGGCGAATGTTAACTTACGACTAGCATCTATAAATGTTATTTGTAAAAGAAAAAAACAAGCAACCGCAATGTTTGATTCAAATGCTTCTCTTTATATTATCGAGAAATACCGTATTTTTCCGAAAACAAGCAACACTTGTTTGTTGTAGTGTTGCTATTTTCGAACCATATTAATATAATAAAACAAAATACATTATTTATTATTTCAAATAGGTTAATTTTTCTGAATTTATGTCATTAAAGTAGCACTAATACTAAGAACACTTGCTATTCGAAACGTTCTTCGTTGCCGGAGTCAGGAGCGATTGTATCGCATAATGCATACTGCGCTGTCAATCTTATGGACAAAAATTTATCATTTGCATATGACAAGATGGTTATTGAATGTGTGTAGATTTAATTTCGTTATCGTGTCTTTGTCTTTTTCAAAAAAAACCAACCTTTTGGTGTTACGTATTATAATCGTCTCACAACTTTCCCGCATAAATTTCAATGGTCAACGGATAAAAACTTTTGTTGCATAAATAGTTTTAAGCGTGACTTTTTTGGTACAAAGTAATTCATAATTAACCTCTAGAGCCCCCCCCCCCCCCCCCGGCTTAAATATAAACAGACAGGTAACCTACGATTTTTTTCAAATTAAAACAGCACACCACGAAAACGGACATCAACAATACGTGTTTAAGTCTACAAATTCCATTATAACCGATAATGGATTCCGAAAGCCTTGATATCGTTTTTTGTAGTTTTCACTCTTTGCAAACCATTAAAGTAGTTGCTAGAATTATGGATAATGCATGGAATTACGATTGGAAGGCCGTGTTCAAATACTGAGAATGTGACCGTAATATTAGAGTGACTGGCTTTCAGTAAAATATAGGGCGAAATTTCCGTGTAGGTTTTAGTTTACATTATAACTACCGTTCTTTTTTAGGAGAGAAATGCGACAAAGTGTTGCCACCGATGTTGTAATAGACAGTAAACAAAATTTGAAAGAGTAGATTTATGCAGAATATTATAAAATTATTTGCATAGTGTTTTATGACGAGAAATATATTTGAATGTTAATTATTATAGCGCCATTATACGTAAGTTTAGTTAAAACTATAAACTTGCACCCCGCTCTCAACTTCTCTAACCCGTTTTTTTGTAAGAGAAACGCAGCACATATGAGTGTTTAATTACTATACATGTTTGATAACTTGTCGCGTAATGAATGCACGGCTTACTTTATTTTTTTTTTGCCACAAAAATAATAATCTACTTTCGATTAGTCCCCGAGCTATTACGGTACTACGAAACAATCGATCATACGAATAAACAGTGTCGTCAAGAAGCAAACTTACAATTATTAGTATATTATCTGTACAACTTTATAATATTAACAAAACATATAACATATTCAAGTCTTAATAAAAACATAGTAGTAATACTTAATCATGTCTTATCCACTCGCGATCAAGAACATCATCAATACATTGCGGCCTCCTGTTAGGATCAACATCCAACATCCATTCCATCAATTCCACGCATTCTTTCGAAGGACGATTATATTTGCTAAACATAACCGGTCCTAAGGCTTTACAAATTACTCGTTCTTTCCGAAAAGGTTCGATTCTCTCGAAAAGTTGGTAGAAAATGGTTTCTAATACCCATATTTGCGCGGTAGATAGTCTATAAGTAACGTGGCCGTACATTTCAGGTGGAACAACTGAGTTAACGAAAATAAGACAATGTTAGCAAATTTATAATAGAGTAAAAAAACATGCACTTACAGTAATATTCAAATGTTTGCTTACTTGAGCCAACCTTCTCAATATGTTGTTCATTTTCCTTCGTCTCGACTGCTAAACTAAAGTCAATTAATTTAACAGTACCATCAATGCCGATGACTATGCTGTCTAGTTTTAAATTGCGATGGTAAATTCCATAACTTTCCAAGTGGCTACATGCAAGCAACAATTGGCGCATTATCCTTTTTGATTCGTCTTCCTTTAATCCGTTAGTTCCTCTGCTTGTTGCAACATCGTTCAAATAGTCTTTTAAATTGGATTTTAATCCAATCGAATCATACCCATGAAATTCGAACGCAACCATCCACTCTTCTGGTCTGATTTTCGTCCAATAAAGGAGGGTTATAATATTAGGATGTGGCAAAATTTTACGGAGAATAACCAATTCTCTTGGCATTTCGATTTTATCGCGTAAAACAGTTTTTGCTTCTTTGGACTTTTTCAAAATTTTTTCTATTACCACGCGATGAGTTTGTAGAGAAATAATTGTTGTCATTATTCGGGTACAGTTCATCTAATAATGCTTTATACTCTTAAAAGTTTTGATGCTCAACGCTTATTTATATTTGACTGCTGTCGCGCACCCAGGAAGTGACGTTTTGGATATTTTGGTTAAGTCGCAGGATGATCGACTTAAATAAGAAAGATTTTCTAACTGTTTGGTCAGCAGATAATCACAGGATAAACGGATATAAATAATAACTTATCTCATTGATCAATGATTCTTTGTTCGACCAAATTCAACGTGCACTGCACTGTTTCGTTAAGTCAAGTATGTAGATAAAAAGGATAAATTCCAAGTCTTTTCTGAAAATTCACGCACAGATTTTTGCATGTCGTTTCATTAACAAAATAAAAGTGAATTTATGAATAGGAGAGTGTTTTTCACTTGGAATAAATGTTAATGTCAAAGAACGAAACGCGGAAAGTTGTCTCCACTTTCTGACTGGCTGTTTTCAGATCGGAACGGAACGGATCGCATATTCTACATCTCATCAACGTTGTTTACGTTATCGAAACAAGATGTGTTTATTTCGGATTGGGCTAGATTGCGATTTGGGTTAGAACAGTAACACTAAGTATCCATGTGACTTTCTTGTAGAATGGCATATTATATGCCAGGCATAACCCATGAATTCCCTCGCCATACCAAGTACTGCGACCAAAAGTGCGAAGGATTCAGCTTGCTCCCCATAGAGATATAGGAATTACAAAAAGGTCATTGGAATACACTTTTACCAACGTAACAAGTTTAGAGAAACGCTTATCTTCCGTCTATTTTGACGCAGCGTGTCTTTCACTCTGGAGATTACTGAACCACATTTTTTCTGTTGTATAATTGATAGCGTATAAACACTGTCATGCGATAGAAATGATATACGCTTTGGCAAAATCATTGGATTGTCAATTATTGTATCTACTACTAAAGCGGTAAAATTATCGCTCAAATTATCGTGGTCTGACTTATCGAGAGTTATTTGTATGAGCATCAGCGTCGTCCGACTTGCAGGTTTCATTAATATGTGTCCGACAAATCGAATTTTTTAACTAGCCAGGGAAAGGGAAAAAAGAATTTTAAGGTTATCGAGCGTCCGACTTATTGAAATTGACTACGTAATACGTTGTTTTCCGGATATAAAGCCATTATCATAAATCCGGTCTACCATGCTCTCTGATGTCGTTGCGAGTATTAACCTAATGAGAATAAAGTGGCGAATGACAGAAATGACACGGTAGCGGGATAATTATTTGCCGACGTTGTCATCGTCCATTGTTGTCATTGTTGTTTTCATTGACAAATATACCCCCGGAAATAAAACATTCTTATCGTGTAACGTGTTCACTCGTACGTTTAAAATTGTCTATTTCATAAGCATTGCCCCCCGGTTCGACGTCAAATTGTCAGTGGAAAGAGAAATGATTTTGGTTGTAAGCTTGACGTGTGATCTTTAATTGATGAACGCAGACGGACCATTCAAATTCCTACATGCAAAACTAGGTTCACGTATAGAGAGCGTTTGAAGCGTAAGCAGTTTTAGTAGTGAAACAGCTTCGAAAATTGGAAAGTGGAAGAATCCAAAGTTGAAAAGAGCTCATATACAATTTTTTTCGTTGTTATTAAATGCTTGATATTCGCTCATTGCTAATTCGATAAGTCGGATCTTTCGAATCTTTGCGCCCGACGAGTCTGACTTACCATGTAATTTGTAAAACACACGAGGATCGTTGCTATGTGCGTCTAATCACATAACCATGCGTTATAAACCAGCGATACTTTTCTCAATTTTAGGGGATTTATACACAATTATGGCTACATACACAAAAGTCCGCTTTAACAAAGTGTTCCATTCCATTGCATTTCTATCTTCTAACGAATTTACATATGAATTGCACGATTTTCGTACCGTTCAGATCTTTTAACGCAGATTATCATTCTTTGCCGCTTTATTAACGAGTCGCAATGATCTTTTTATTTAACGGATCATGCCAAATTCGGACGAATTTAATTATTAAACTGGACATCGGTAACTGTAAAAGTTGCAGTAACGGTGCCCACGATCGATAATATCCACAATTACACATTCTCCTGATTACAGAGCGTCCGACCCCGTCGAATCAATCGCAACCGATAAGAAAAGTAAAAGCCGCGCTTTGGCTTAACAATTGTATATAAGCAATTTTTGATTGATGTATTGTCTATACTTATCAAAATTTAACAATTCGAGCATATCTTTGCCAAAATCATCTCTTTTTTTCCATAACCCGGGTCGGCAAAATAATAATTTATCGTAGCTTTTTCCTTTTCTTTTTATCGGCGCTTATTGTGCTAGTAGACAACATCTTTCTGGTTTCTTCACGTCTTTTCTTCTCTTCTTCTTCTAGTTTCCTCCGCGTCTGTTAATTGAATCAAATTTAGCAGAGTTTTACATTTTTAAATTCAGTGCTATTTTTTCAACAGTCGTCATACCTCTGGATCAATATCAGCCGTCCGACTTTTCTTGACTGCTGACGATGGCGATTGTGATGATGATGCCGCCGCCACCGTCGTTGTCGTCGTTGTCGTCATGGTCGTCGTCAATTTCCGGGCAACAGACGCTTTGGGTAGTGAGAGCAAGCCTTCCGTTACTTTTGTAAAAAAGACGGTCGTTTCTGGGTTGGAAAGCACTTGGGATGGGTGAAATTGTTTAAGTGTATCCAGTGTTTTCTATATATATGTGATCAGAAGATGAATTAAAGGATTGTTGTTGCATTCGTCAACGACTTAATCGGGCCAAGTTTTGATTAATCCAATGCACCTTTTTCTCCGACTCGGTTGTTTCATTTGCGTTGAACGGGGCTGTTCTGCGCTCTGATAAAAGAATAGATTAACTCGGTAATAGTCAAAACGGGAGCCCATGCCATCTTTTCTAATTGAAAGTAGTGCAATGCTTACTTCGTGCATTTACCGCCAAGCCAGCCTTCTTCATCATATCAACAGCTTCGTTGATCTCGTTTTGCTTCTCTTCAATAATTCCTTCTAACGTCCTTGTTTGTCTCTTATATGATAATGTCAGCGTCGTCATTGGGAGAATATAATGCTCATAAAGAATGGTGCTTCCGTCAACATGTGTTTCAGACGCAGGGCCGTAGGATTGCACCAATTCACAAGCGAATTCCCATTGAATGGATGCCAAATCTAACGCGATAACGGCTCTCAAGGTAAACTTGTAGATAAGGATTGATAGTGGTTAAATAGTCGTATTTCGTATGGTTGAACAATCTGTTATTCGTTTCCATGTTAATATCCACCTCATGTATGTTCGCGGGCACGCGTCAAATGTAATTGACGAGCCGCATACGCTAAACCCAAAAAACAGTATACGGGTTCTTTTTATTACCTTGTCATCAGTATTTTCAGCAGTATATATGACGCGATTCTGTCTCTGCTGTACGAAACTCTTTAAATGCTCAATTAATTGGCTTAATCTATCTTCTTGTTCTACGTCCAATCCACAAATAACTTTCTGCCAGAATTTCGGATTAGTTTAATCACGTAATCTTTTCAGATTAAATAAACCGTTTTGTAACAGAAAAATACCTTTCCCCGTTCTTTTATTCCCATCACATCTAACTCTTCAAACCACACACTGCACAAGTCGGTTAAAAGTAAGGAATATTTGCCCAGGTCAAATTGAGATTTTGCGAAAATAGTCTTAAGTTCCGTTCCTGAACGCACATTTTCCAAAACGGTCCACGGTATGCTCCCAAAGTGTTGAATTTGATTTCTATTAAGGATCATTACTATGACTGAACCGAGTAATGCAAGGTTAAAACTGTTGAGGAGACGTTTCGTAGTCCGCAGTGTGTGTAAATTTAAAAATGTGTTTTCACATACATCTACCAATCATGTTTCCGACTGAGGTGATGACCTCACACATTCCAATAAAGGCAATCACATATAAGAAAATCCGAAAAAATTTCACCGATTTCCTCCTCTGTCTTCCTAAATCCATCTCTACATCTTTTCGCTTTCCCAACTTTAAAACCGAAAAGCAAAGATGGTCAAATTCATCAAACCCGGTAAGGTGGCCATCGTTCTTTCAGGACGTCATGCTGGCAAGAAAGTCGTAATCGTTAAACCGGTCGACGACAGTACCAAGGATCGCCCGTATGCTCATGCTATTGTAGCTGGCATTGAACGTTACCCGCTGAAGATAACCAAGAAAATGGGCCCTCGGAGAATTGCCAAGCGGTCGAGGATCAAGGTGTTTATCAAGCAAATTAATTATAACCATTTGATGCCTACGAGATACACCTTTGAATTGGAGAATATCAAAGGAGCGGTGAATCAAGAGACGTTCAAAGAAGTGTCTCAGAAGGAGGACGCCAAAAAGCTCATCAAGAAAACATTACAAGAAAGATACAAGACCGGGAAGCACAAGTGGTTCTTTACAAAATTGAGATTCTGAGTGTGGGATGGATTTTTGTGGCGTCGTTGCGCGCGCGCGGAGAGGATATGTTTTAGTTTGTTGATGTGATCTTGCACATGTAACCTTTTTATTTGGACATGTCTTTATTAAAACACTGACTGTTTTTGTTGAATTATATTGATTGGGGTTGAAGAATAGGTTACTTGATTGGGTGTTGAGAATTGGTATGGATTAGGATTGTTGATTTAACTAGTATCAAGAAAGGATGGTTTAAATACCACGACAATGATCAAGTATGACGACATTCACAACTCGATTTGGGCCCAACGCTAATGGAAGAAGGATAGTGAGGAAATTGGGCATCCTTTATTCTGCAACGTTCTTGCCATATCAATCATGTGTAATTATAGTCTCCCATCACCGATGAATCATGCCAACTTTTAAGCGTATATGACGTTTGGACTGCAATAAATCAAAAGTTTTTGTTCAAGTGAACCTATCGTCGTTAAAACCGATTGCAGGCACACCACATTCCTTTAACATTCCAACAGTTGGTCCGTACCGTATCAACACCTCTGACAAGTCATCAACGCCGTTGCAAAGACAGGGTTCTCCCTGATTATGCTCACCATGATGAGTCAAATCGTTGTCATTATAAATAAAAGCTTTATTAAAATTACTCTGCAGTCTTTTGTCGTTTGAAAGGAATTCGTTTATGCTCCTTTGCAGCATTCTTCTTTCTCCTCTTCTCAATGACCTTTTCTAATTTTTTCGGATTATTCTTTAGCTTGTTATAGGTTTCAACCAGTTCAAGTTTCTTCTCCTCTGATCTTTTAAGATAAAAAGGCTTTTTGCCCTGAGCCACACGCTGTAGTTCTGCCTTCTTGTGTTCGCGCTTGAGTTGATTCTTTCGTCGTAAATTATTCTCTGTTGTTGCTCTTGATTGCTTTCAAGCAAGAGAGAGAAAAATAAAAAAATTTTGGATTAATTTTTGAAGGATTAGAGTGCTGTGAATAATACACATACAGTCAAAGCTGCGTATCACGACTTGGTCTCTTGAGAAAAAAAAAATCGTTGGTAGCAACTGGAAATATACCATCGCTACAACAAACGATCTTATATGTATCGTCATATTCAGCGTTGACTGTGACGTATCACATGCAAACCCTTCTTCTCCCTCTTGATCACATTTTTCTTTCTCACGCTTGCAGAAACAGATTGATTGAAGAGGAAAGGAAGAGTTTGTCAGGGATACGATATGCCTTTTCATTTATCAGGTAGATGGTAAACCATTTTGTCTAATAGTCTGCTTAGTTTCTCAATTTCTTCCGGATCTCTCTCTTTCCTTAATAGTTCTTGTAGTTCCTTTATCTCTATTTCTTTATATTCGTTTATGAAACTATATGTTTTCTCAAATAAATCTTCGTTGAATTTTCCAGAGAGACTATCGAAACGCGGATCACGATGTTTCTGTCGAAGTAGTAATTAATTGAGATACAGTAAGTATAAAAGAGAGAATTGATATCTATTCGTCCTTACCTTTGACGGTACTTCAACAATTTGCCTAAACACTCCAACTGGCTTCTTGGATGATATTTCTGTTGGCTTCGATGACATGACGAAACAATAGAGCAGTCTTTGCCGGTATGGGAGGACAGAAATTTAATAATAAAGTTCACGTGATTATATAGTATTGTATTACCAAATCGATTATTTCAATTGCTGTCGCATTCAGCAGTAATTATAGTCGCTCATTTTATGCACCAGAAATTTTATGCGGGGCGATTCGGCTTTTCGCCAGACCAGAACAAGATACATCTTAACAGCCCAGCTAAATTTTCACAGAGAAAGCAGATTAGAAATTGAGTTTCGCAAGTTTCAAAGATGTAATATGACGTTGCATGTTCGAAACTATGCAGCTGTTAATGCATTATTTTCAAATATGGGGACAAGAACGATTATATTGAGATTTGTTAGCATTCCCATAATGCTCAGGTATAATGCTTACAACAAAGAATTACCAAAAATGCAGAAATGTTTGAACGGAAAAACAAAAAAGAAAGAAAGAACAAAAATATAAATTTCTTTCTTTACAGAGAAATATCAAGGCAAGCAACACGAGAAACCTAATTACGTTCTTGGAAAACAAATTTATAGAAAAAGGTTATAACGGCACATTGAGACGGTATGATGAGAAGTAAAAAGCATATAAAAATAACTTGCAATAATGTTAGTGACCATAATAAAACAATACAATTATTCTATTTATCTGTATTTGATGACCATAAAAGTATCGAACTAAATTTTATTAAAAAAGTCCTTATAATTGAGGACAAATTTACTGTCAAGCTACGTGAGAATGTTACGTGGTATAAGAAAGGAGCTAATATATATTAGTTTATACTTATAGATTAATGAAAGCAAATAAATAAAATCACCGAATAATTAATCTCACTATTACTATGAAGCGTTTTTTGAATTTTGGTATCAGTATAATATCACCTCCTTGATATTGATGTATCGTCAAACGGGTCAGATCGACAAAAGAATTGATTCTACGTAGAAATAAAATCAGCTTCTACTGCTATGCATGAAGAGTAGAATCTACCAAACGTATCCTCCTCCCAGCTAACTCGGTAAAATTACGGTATGTGTAATAATAAAAATAGATCAAAAATACAAGACGCGTCAACTTTGCATATCATTGGTTGCGTAACACAGACCTGCATAATGGAACGATTATTATTATCTCGAGAGCTCTGCGATAATCACAACTCTCCCACACACAAAAAAAACTTGCAAATGGACATTGACAAGATATTTAAACTCCCTTCAATACCAAGCGGAAAGAACAAACGCAAATTAGCTGCTACTCCTAGTACCGAAGTACTAAAAAACGTTCGTGCACGACTTGAAGATTCCGACGAAGATCTCGACATCAGTAGTAGCCAGAAAACTAGCAAAAACAAAGGGAAGGGTAAATCGGTACAGATCTCTGACGAGGTCGAAGAGAGAGAGTACTATGTTGACGATTACGGTCAGGACGACGATGAGGAAGGAAGATTCTACGGAGGTGGGCTTACAGAAGAGCAAAAGAGGATATTGGAATTAGTTGACGAAGTCGAGACGGAAGAGGTTGGTTGGGACATTTATGTTGTATTGAAAAGTTAGTGTTAATACCAGAGTATTTACTGATTTGTCTGCGTGCTCTATATCAGACAGGCGCATTGGATCCTGCCGGTGTGCGAAAATTGATTCTTAGATTCGAAAAAGCTATTAACAAAAACCAAGAGTATCGAGTGAAATATGCTGACGATCCGTCAAAGTATGCATACCAAAACCCATTTTCCAAATCATAGACGTTTTTCGTTTCTTTCTTGTTGACCTTCCCCGTCATCCATAAAACACTATTCCCAGATTCATGGAATCGGAAGCTGACCTCGACGAAGAAATAAAACGCCTCAAAACGCTATCCGAAGTTCCAGATCTTTACCCCTACGTGGTCCAACTTGGCGTCATTCCTCAGGCCGTCTCTCTTCTTGCTCACGAAAATACAGATATCGCTATCGATGTAGTTGAATTACTCAATGAACTTACAGACGAAGACGTTGTGGCAGAACACGAAGAAGATGCTATTAAAGTCTTCGTAAATGCTCTGGTAATTTGAAGTTTTACTAGATTACCTGTGAGCAGGTATGATTGTGGAAGATATCGGTAATTTGGAACAAAGGATAAAAGTTGTCGACTGATTGAATACAATCTTTTTGTGAAAAATATTCTTGGGAAATTCAAAGTTGGAGAATCAGATGATCGAGTTACTCGTTCAGAATCTGCAGCGGTTGGATGAAAGCGAGAGTGCAGATAATCAGGGGGTATTCAATACTCTCGGTAAGGCCGTTGATTTTGTGCTTTTGTTAAGCATAAAGCGAGATGATCTATTTTACGTTTACGTTTACTATGCGAATTTCTACAATAATGTTTCTATTTTCGTTTGGTCAGGCGTCATTGAGAATTTGACATCGCTGGATCCGTCGATATCAGAGCGCGTTGTGATGGAAACGGATTTGTTGCAATGGATATTGACGAGGATAAAAGTGAAAACATTCGATTCAAATAGACAATACGCTAGCGAAATATTGGCAATTTTGCTTCAGGGTAGCCGCGGTAACTATCAATGGGTTTATTCGGTATTTGAGAAAGTTTTTGCTTTCACTGATGATTTGCTTCTTCAATTAGCTAATAGAATAAAATTGGGTGAATTGGGGGGAGTGGATGTATTGCTGCAAGTACTGAATGTAAGAGACAACCGAGTGACATTCTATTGTTCTACATTCAATCCGAGCTTTAGACAAACTAATTGACTTGTGCTTATTTGAAAGTCATATAAACGCAAGGATCCTAAAGATGCAGATGAAATAGAAATGATGGAAAACTTTTTCGACTGTTTGTGTTCGGCACTTGCAGAGCCGGAAATAAAACAGAAATTCTTAGAAGGCGAAGGAATCGAGTTGATGCTTATTATGGCAAAGTAAGTTTATTGTCGTAGAGCTTCTGTTTAACCTAACGCTAACCTTGAGCATGATTGCAGAGAAAAGATGATGGCTCGAATGCGAGCAATAAAAGTTCTTGATTACGCCATGTCCACTCCAGATGGCGCTGGAAATTGCGAGCGATTTGTTGAAATTTTTGGATTGAAAACTTTATTTGCTACTTTCATGCGCAAGGTAATGCAGCTAGTATAAGAATCTGTTGTGTAAATGTTCGATCATGTGGATTTACCGCGTGTGTGCATTGGGATTGCTCGAGGAAATTAAGGGTGTTAATTTCCCAATATATCATGGTTACACTGAGTTTCATCTTAAAAAAAGTTCTAACGCTTTCTGGTGTTATCTAATATACTTGTTACGATTATTGGATTTCTCGCACAGGGCATTAAGAAATTAAGAAGGGCATACAGGAACTTTTCAGAAGCACAGGAAGAAGGTGAGGATACTACCAAGACATATGGGAATTTGTAAACATTAAATTGGGCATAACGTTGCTATGATACAATTATGTAATGTGTTATATTACGGTTTGGCCGTCGTGCAGTGGTGTCACTTACTTAACATTATGCTTACATCTAATTTGTAATTCTAGAACATGTCATTGGGATTATTGTATCTCTCATAAAGAACCTGCCTTTTAACGGTGATTACCGATTACGGTTATTAAGTAAATTCATTGAAAATGATTACGAAAAGGTCAACAGGTTACTGGAATTGAGAGACAGCTATGAGGCCAAAGTTGCCATTGTTGATAGGGAGATTACACGAACCAAGCAGGTTGGTTCACAATGTCACAACCATTTTAAATTTTTTTTCCATTTGGGTCGGTGAGCATTCACCAATGAATTTTAACTTAGAGAATGGAAGAAGATGACGAAAACGATGAAGACATGGAAGAAGAATTCTATTTGCGAAGATTAGATGCGGGACTGTTTACTCTGCAGCTGGTCGATCTTACACTTGCATGGATAGTTTCCGAAGATGCCAAGGTCAGTTTGAAATTAACGTTTTTTACACTGTTCCGTTTCCTTATTACAAAGTTAATCTCAAGATCGTACACGGTGTTCATTGGTATAATACCCCCGGCATTCTAAATGACTCTGACTTAAACCGCGTTTGTACACTATAAATAAATGTTGATCTCTTTGTCATTTTGTGTAGATTAAGGAACGTGCAACGACTCTTCTAGGTCATGTAGGTCGAAGTCTTGAGGATGTAAAACGAGTGTTACAAGGTTAGTGCGATGGGAAAACCTTGTTCTGGTATTCTAGTTTTGTAATTTGCAGGCATGCCAGTATTCCAAATTTGGAATACAGACTGAATATTCTATTGGATAATCTAGAATATTACGAGAACCTGGGGGGGGATGAGTCGGTTGAGACTATGCTTACATCATCAACACCAATGGTCGAAGAGGACGACGGTGGGAAAAATGACAATGACGGGAACACGGAGCACATGGACGAAGATGGTAAAGAGGAGGATGGACAACAAGAAAGTTTAAGTGAGACAGAAAAGGGTAGTAGTAGCAATAGCAATAGCAATAGCAATAGCAATAGCAATGTAGGAGCAACAGAACGACAAACCGCAATAGTTAGCAAGGAGTTTGTTGCTCGTCTGATAAGTTCTTTATAATCCTATAAATATATTTTTCGTTATTGATGAGGGAATAAAGAGAGAAAAATAACGGTTTCATTATGTTATACCAATCAATTATAATACAGTACTACAAGGTAAATTTACAATATAAATAATAATTGCGTAAATTGCGTACTGATTACTTGAGATATCAAAGGGTGATAATGCCACAAGTTTTACCAATGGTGTGTCATTATGTCTTTTGATGTACACTTTTCATAGACTTTTTCAACATTGTTGTTTAACCATGCGTGCCCCAAAGTTAATCACTATCTGCCCATTACGGCAAGTGCTAATGTACGAACACCGATAATCGCCACTCCCAGACATCTACCTGCATCAGTCGTGTTACGATCCCCAATCGGAATATAGGACTTTTCGACCGGTTCTTTGTCGAATTCAGCCTGTCCTTGTTACATGCGACCAACCATTTCCAAGTTATACCGCACGAATTACCAAATATATCTAGAGGTTGTCTTCCGCATTAATGCTATTTTCTATTTAAAGGAAACAAGCGGGGTCTCCCCGAAAAACTATATCAACAACGAAAACACAGCGCTCTTTCCAACTCCAACGGTTTTTTGGAACAAAGAGCCAAGTTTTCAAGTAACTGTATGATTAACGCATTCAATTTACGGGATAAAAACATACACCAATAAACTACATTTTGCCATTCAATCCATATTATCGCCTCTCAATAAACTCTCTCCTACCCTAAAAGTTTCTTAATTTCTTTTATTTTTTTTTTCTTTTCTTTTGTACCATAATTTCCCGTCTACACACCTCACAACTCTACCTTTTCCCCCTCCCCCCCCACGCTGGCGTGTTAGCTTGTAATATTCTTTGTACAGAACTTTTAATCAATTTTTTTTAAAACATGACTCGCTTTTCGTCTTTGGTTTTGGTATCACTGGCATTGGTGCTTGCATTCTGTTCCTCGATATCTGCAAGCAAGACTAGTCTTACTTTACACTATGACATTGTCAAGGTGTCGAATTCTAGCACGAATCTGGACATTTACCAGCCAGGAGAAGACTATACTAACGGCATAGAGCAGGTTGAAGGTTCCCCTTCTCCCGATGATAATGGCGTCTCGGTAAGCATCGCAACATTTGGAAAGGATTTACATATACAATGTGCATATCTTGACAAATATTCACTCATTATTTCTAGGGTGTCCTTTTCGACCTGGGCGATGCTTGTTCTAAAAACAATACCGATATCATCCCGCCCGTTTCCCTGCCATCTGCTCTCAACTCGCAACGGATAGCTTTCATACAATTATCCTCAAGCTGTTCCGTCCACGACCAGCTCGTCGCAGCTCAACAGCAACAAGCAGTCGGTGCCGTTTTCTATGGATTCGTCGCTTCGGCTCCGAAATCTTCCGACTCGGACACCATCCCTGCCTTCCGCGTAGACAACAGTACCGCACAAACGCTGCGCCAGGCTTTGAAAGACAACACCCCCCTCGACCTTGCTGTGAGAGTCGTCATGAAGTCTTCGCACGATGGTTTCGGTAGTCCTTGGCAGATTGCTATCATTGTTATCGGTTGCATATTAATTATATCTTTCCTTGTCTCTGGTAAGCATTTTTTCATTTTATACAGGAACTATGCATCAACGTGACCAAGGGGTCACGCGTCATGCGTTAAGAGTGAGACAGTGCATAAGGAGACTATCGTCAATTCAAAAAAAGTATAAATAGATTACACAGCAATAGATTTGCATATCAGCACGCATTTATATATAAACCCACACACACGCACACACAACGCATACTCATATATACATACAAAGCATTCACACATTCAAACAACAACCTAGCATTTACTCAAACACTAATCAAACCACATTCACTTTTACTCTTCAAAAAAAAAAACAGTCGCAATTCATTTCCGCTTATACCAACTCCGACAACGCGAAAGTGCAGACATGATAGCCCAAAGCGAAGCCGCCGCAAACGCTAAACTCGACGTTATCTTCACTCTCAACAAATCCGTCGTCAAATCATTCCCGACCAAAGTCTTCCATCGCTCCATCGGTGACAAGATCCGTTCTTCCATATACCCGAATGGCAAATCCTCCGGCAGTCGTCCATCCTCTGTCAGGTCCATGAAGTCTATCAACAAGGAGAACGCCAACGATCTGTGTGCTATCTGTTTGGAAGAGTTCCAAGATGGCGAAGAACTCCGCGTCTTGCCCAACTGCAAGCATACTTATCACATTCATTGCGTTGATAAATGGTTGACGACCAAGTCCTCGCACTGTCCTCTTTGCAAGCAAGATTGTACTCCTCCGGAATTGGCTTCCAAGAGACAAAAGAAGTACGAAAAGTGTAACCAATTGCACACCAGATTGGACGACATCTTCGCCACCGGCGGTTCCTCCTCTTCTTCTTCTTCTTCCAACGGCCATTCTGAAAGATCAGGACTCGGATTTTTGAATTGGTTTGGAAACGGTCATGAACAGCGCGGTGGAAGACGATGCAACGATGATTTGTTCTCCGTTCAGGAACTCCCGGCCGCTGCCATGAAGCAGGAGAGATTTGTATAAAGGAGTGAAGCGAATTGAGGAGGGAGAGTTTAAAAAAAAAAAGAGATTTATTTTTTTTCTCTTGGCCTTTTTTCTCATTTTTGCATTTTTGTTTATATCATATTTCATCCAAAAGTCTTTTCCGAATTCCCTCTCTCTTCCATTTCATTTGGCATCTTGTACAAAATATTCATGTTCCTGTAGAAGCATTTTACAAGCATTTTGTAGTTTATATACAGTGCATATCCCGCATTTCTTGGCATTTTTTTCCACATTTCGCATTGCATTTCAATATATCATAGAAATTGCATCGTTCGCAGTCTCATTCATTAGGCATTTTAGCATTTCTTCATAGAAAATTTCATGTTGATTTTTACTATACACTTTCATTGCCACATTTGCATTAATCATACAGTTACAATCATTTCAATCATTTCACACACAAACGTGAACATTTTGACTCTACAAAGTCGACAGTCTTTCTTTACATTATTATATATACTTGTAAGTTTTGGATTATACATATACACGTTCGTCAACAGTGTCTATAAATAAAAACAAAAATTTCTTTTCAAAATGGTGATGTGCAAGAAAGTGTTTGATAGAGCATCAGCGATTTCTATTTTGACTCTCCACAACGCGATGGAAAAACAAAAGGGCATAATAATGATAATGACAAACTCGACGTAGTACGATTACAAGTTGGAAATAATGGTTTACCAATGATTTCACAAAATTAGCATAACCGGTTACATGCATGTGCCTTGTCATCTTATTATTAATATTATGTAGTCTGAGTAATCAAACGCGCACAAGTAGTTGGTCAGTTCACTCGGTAGATCATATCCAGTTTGGGCAGAAAAGATTCCTTTACAACCTATTCTCGTCTGTTGCCCATTTCAGTTGCCATTCACTTACAAAGAACTTTTTTTTGCATCACATATTACATAGGTTTTCTTTATGCTGCATAACGATAAATTACGTTACTATATGTTTAATGGAAATGGTCATTCTTTTACAAATTTATAATCAATGCAAAAACGCTTCGTTTGTTTCCCATTACTGTGTCAGAGCTGAGTAACAAATTCACTTTAAAGGGAAAACAAGAAACAAGTGTCGATATGCATATGCGTGCTTTTTATTATCACCCGTTTTCGTTTGCAGGACATTCGACTGTGTTTTTTAAGGGGGTTTCAATGTTGTGACCTTTTTTGAGGGGTTTATTGCATGAGTGATAAAAGCCAAGAATGATAATGACGCTTTTCTTGAGTCGCACAACCGTGACTTTTAGTGAAAAAGACCCATAAACGAATTTTAATGGTGAACTTATAATAGGTGTGGTGATTTGATGACGTATTCTGCGAAAATATTTACGAACTCGACGTGTGGGGTATTAAAAGTAAATATCAATATTATATCCTTTTGAACTTTCACTTTCCTAAGATTTGAAAAAAATACCTTGTCAATAAGAATGCGGCGTGAATTTTAAGAAAGATTAGAAACAACTAGGATGTGAGTTAACCAAGTTTGTCCTCCTCCCGCATTCAAAGGATGATGTGTGTAAGTCTTGCAATTTTGATACTAATTACTTTTGCTTGGAGACTCGGGGAAAAAAGTACCTATTAACGCGTTCGTGAGAAAGTGATCGGCGAATAAAGAACTGATTGCAAAATGCTATTCGATGAATATTTGTCTTATATTGACAGGCAATCAAGTATCAGAACGGTGTTTCAAGGCCTTTCAGCGATACATTGGTCGAAGAACAATTAATGTCAACGAAATCCTAATTTCCAAAAACAACTCAATCAATCGTATGAGACAAAAAATAATTGTTGTGTCTATGGAAAGTTTGACTCGTTAGATAATAGCTTTAGTTATCAAGTGTTCTCATGTTCACAAAAGATATTTACATAACTGAGGTAGAGAAAGTATGGAAAAGTAAGTATTTTAGCGAAATTTGGTTAAAATAAATGGTCTTGATCTTTTCCTTATCTGTTACGCGTGTTAGTCGATCTAACCTAAGCGAAAAAGCTTAGTTCCAAATCCGGTCGATTTTTCCTCTTTTCCCTGAGGCCATTGTGTACTCGGTGGTGCTAGTATCAAATTGGTTACCGCAAGAAAATAAATATACTGTATTATTCCCATTTTGATGCTTTATGTTTGAGACCCTTGCGAGATTGAAAAGAAGAGCTCCTTTGTGATAATTATTCACACAGCACGTGAAACACAATATTAATATACCTCAAGTTGTAAATGTAAGATTAAATCTCATTACAAATAGTATCTGAGTTTGAATACTGAACTAGATAACTAGATTCACTAATAGTATTTTGCAACAAACAACACGTAGGTGTAATCATCTTGTTGACATTGCAAATAAGTGACAGTCGCAAATTATAGCCGTCACAAGTCAATATTGCGCCCTGAATTGTGAATTGGCAGCAACATCTTGTGTAGTGACTGTTTTAAGCTGAGTAATTCAATTCATACGAGTAACATGTCTAGTATTACTTTAATGGCAAAATAAGTTTATTTCTCAGCCGACATTTCTACGTTAAGACGTTCATATACTAACCAAGTCGTACCATCACACAAATTAATTCTTGAAGATGTTGACTGATCCGTACGTCTGCCTCAAAGACATGAGCAACCCGCAAGTAAAATTACAAACCGATTTTGACATTTGTAATTATGTCCACAGAGTTCCTCGTTGTCAAATTCAAAAAATGTACTATCTGCATATCTGGAATTCATTAAACTTCATTCTGTATGAAACCTATATTAAATATTTTACATTGAATTCTTTTTCGTAATACTTTTGGCTCCGACCCCCACACAAATAGTTCCAAAAACTAGCCTATACTCGAGTGAAAACAAGTCTTGAATGACATATTGTCAACAAGCTCATATCACAAAAAGAGTAAAGCATATCTATGCCATAGACGAATAAATGCCTAAAGTCCTTGGTTGCAATATCGTCTATATAAAGGCCATTTTACATGTCCAGAATTTCGTTATTACGAACAGCCGATTGAAAAAAATGAATGACGCAAGGCCGAACGGGCGGAAATTCTTCGTTCTGGATCATAGTCCAACAATTTTACCAGCAGATCATAAAACGCCGCGTGATACTCAGACTCATGGGGGTTTATAATTTCCTATTATAAGACATACATTTAGTCTCGTAACGAGGCGTGTAATTTGCGCAATGAATAAAATACCTTTAGTGATCTCGTATTCTCGACGTATTTGATACTACTTCTTGAAGTAGACGCATCCGGAAAGGCAAGTTCTTCGTGTTTGAAATATTTCAAATATGTGGATTGCCTATGCAAAAATATACCGCGAGTGAATATGCACAGCTGGCAAAGCATTAGAAGAATTACAGGATAGCAACGAGGGGACAGTACCCTATACGCCGAATTATTCTAACTGGAATTCGGCCAAGTACTTTTTGCATTAATGCCAAATGTTCCAAATTATCATGAGTCTGAAATAAGGCATCTCCAGTGAAAAGCTCAACCAAAATACAGCCAACAGACCAAACATCACATGGATACGACCATCCTAATCCTGCGTGAAAAAGATCAGGCTTGGGGATCTTTAGAGCACAGTAAAGGTAGATATTTATAGCTTACCTAATATTACTTCGGGTGCGCGATAATGCCTCGTCGAAATAACCGGTGAATGATACTCATCTTCAAATATAGCACTTCCAAAGTCAATAAGTTTGATATAAGTAGAAAGTAATTCCTTTGTCTCAGCACGTTGCGACGAGTGCTAGTGATTAACGTTAAATCTGTAATTAATTCCAAAACTCCCACCAATACACTTGAAGTAACCTTTACCAACCTTGGACGGAACAATTATACAATCGTCGTCAGCAAGAAGAACGTTTTCCGGCTTCAAATCGGTATGACATAGTTTTATTGAGTGAATGACTGAAAAATCAAGAAAAGATTTAAGTTACGCGAGTACAACCAAGTATGGAATGCTTTGACAGAAACAAATAACGTACATGCAACCGATCGTAACAATTGCCGAGATAATTGTTGAACGTGTTTCATTGGAAAAGACTGATATGAATTCGACTTGAGGAAATCGTAGACAGACTGGGCGTACATTGGAAATACTATACACATATGTCCACGATACTCGAAAAATTCTTTAATGTGTATGCATTGGCTACGTAAAATAATTCAAGCGGTTAGAAACGATATGGCATTGGCGCGCCATGCGTGAAAATAAACCGTAAAGACAAAAACACCAAACATAGTAACATGCTTACAAGTCGTTATACGGATCGTTCTCCTTTATCGTGTTCAATACGCCAATCTCGGCATAACTCGCTTCTAAATACTTTTGTATGGCACGTATTATTTTGATGGCAACATTTACATTCCCCTTCTTATCCCATGCTTGAACTACTCGCCCAAATGTTCCTTGACCAAGGATACGAAATATTCGATCTATTCGAATGTAGCGAATAGATAATTTTTGTACGCTCGTATGAACAATACATAAAAAAGAACAGACGGATAATACAAGAAATATATACATCTCGATCCAATATCCATCCCAGGAGCTACGACTAAATGCCCGTCTTCGTCATCCCATTCTAGTCGTTCTCGTCTATGGTTAACTCGAGATGATGTACGTTGTAATTCGCCAGGTGACTAGAATACATGAATGTTATTTTTAGTTTATAATGAGGAGAATGGAAATATTTCTTTTTCGCTTTTGCTTACCGCGTATTTCGTTCTTGTAGATGTATCGGTTACGGATATGCGTCTCCGTTCTTCTCGACCGTTTTGACGATATTCTCGTTGTTTGTTATTTGATGGTCCAGCCTCAAAATACCGTTGGCCGTAAAATCTATCATTGAAATCATCTTGTCGGCTGTAATGATCGTAATTGTGACGATAAGAACGACTAATCTCCATGCGGCCTCCCCTCGGTTCTCGCGATTCGTACGGATGATAATAACGACCGCCGCGAATTGAGCTCCGGTTATGATAACGACGATCGCCATCGGCGGCGTTATCACGTCGTCTTGCCAGGTTGCTTCTCTCTCTTCGAATTCTCTTCAAAGTTGAGCCTCTGTCATCCCGACATCCTGCTGGAGCCATTCTACGAGCGGTCGCAGGAGGGTCGTCAACTACAACTATGGGTAGAACGCCCGAAGGATCGGTCAAAAGCGTGCTCGACTTTGTCGAAGCAGTCGATTGAGCGGCATAACGGAGCATGCGGCACATATAAGGAGTATGCTCGCTCCGATGTTTTGCGGATCTGAAAGAATTATGCTCGTCTGACTCGGCGTGTGAAGTGTATTTCGGTCTTTTCGACCTGTGGTAGTGGTAATGTATGTGGCTAGGCGACATGTGTGTCGAGTGTGGCGAGGGACGTGGCGAACGGTGACGATGTGAAGGGGATCTGGAAGGGGTATCTTCTATTATTATTACTTCTTTTCCCTTTTCGTATATTGTTTTTGTTATTGCAGACTGACGATCCAAGCCAAACGTATAGCGATGCGAGCTTTCAGAGTCCATTATTCTATTACTCGTACGTACTTATTATTATGGACTACACAAACGACAATAATAAGGCTGGAACTATATAGTATAAAGAAAGCTTGCATGTGTGTGGGAATTTACTAATGATGGATGCACATGACACCTACTTGAAACATGACTCTTTGTGACGCTAAACATAGTAAGGAAATATTTAAATGAATCATACTTTGTATTGTCATCGTTTGTACAAAAGGAAAAACAAAAAAGGGAAAAGGACGAATTATAATGCAACTCGTGTGATATGCCACGAGTTTGTTCTTTGCATTGTTACCGTTAGTCAATTGAGAGAGCATTCTCGTCATCCTATAGACGTGAAGTGGCTGAGCGATGGTTGTTTGTAATTACAAAGTCATGTCTGGAATTTAGCAACGTTGTTACAACTTTGACAACGAAAGTTTGTTTGCATTGATACCAGAACAGGCTCGTGAATGAATTCCGGAATTGCTTTATGGTAGAACTTGTTAGCATACATGCACATGCACATTACTTTTTCTACGTATTTCGACTTTTTTCATAGAAAATCAATGAACATCACTAGTCATGCTATTTAACAAACTTAAATATCCCGTCCATAAAACACCCGTTACGCCAACAAAAGGTACTCTATATCTCAATGGCATAAATCTAAAATTGATAACTTGTGCGAGAGGCCATAAACAATAGTTGGCTTTCAGAGCGGGAACAAATGATACCCTAAACTTTTCTTTGATCTTATCGACGCTATGACCTTCCATAGCTCCCATCGCACAAAAGAACAACGCCAACCCGAAAGGAGCAAAAAATATCTGATCAACGGCAACGCGCTTGGCGACCGCGCTCATAGTGTGCTTCATCGTATGGTTCAACCCGACGTTTTGCGTCGGTATGGGAAATCGTCGGTCAAGTACTGAAAACCACTTCTGAACAACAGGAGCTATGGCAAAGCCGTATGTTGACAACCGCATTAGTCTATATGGATCAAAGGATCTGTCCTCCAGGGATATTCGAACGTTTCCTATTGACATCTCGTCATTATTCGACCCTTCTCGTACATGTTTATCGACGAGTACGCTGTGTCCCCCACTCTTTGCTTCCCGAGATTCATACAAAGTAATCGACTGAGCCAGTACATCCGCCAGGCCAGCTAATACGGCATTGATGCTCGATAGAGTCAACACCGGATGTGTCTGGTAATTTGATGCGTAGATACGATTTGCTACTGCAAGTACTGGGTACATTTTTTTTAAAAGCGTCTGGCGAAGGAAATATATGTCCCTGAATTCAACAGAAATTAACTTTATATTAGAAGCTTTTTCTTTAGTCTTATTTTTTTCACTACCCTTATTCTGGTTATATTCGGGATCGTATAATTCAACCGTATAAACGGTTGCTTAGAATGACATCACTATTCGGTTATGTTTTTGAATGGATCAGCCAATCAAAGGATGTCATTCTGAAGGCGCCAGACAAGAATGATGTCGGTTGTGTTAGCTTCCAGGCTAATGCGCGCGAAGGGCACTTATCATGTGCATGCTTTTTATCATATTCGGGTTTGCGGACTTGAGATAACTTATAGGCTGTAAATAGGTTAAGAGAAACTATTTCAAATAAGAATGAATGTAAGAACTTCTTGATAGATTTGCTGGAAAAGACGTGATTAATTGAAGAGATTATTATTATGGTGCTTACAAATGTTGGAATGTGAATGAGAGTTTGTTGGTTATAATGGATAGATTCTAAATGCACAAGTTTCTGTACGCCTGATAGCATATACTGTATAAAAGAAATTCATACAGGAACGATCGAATATGAGTTATTAGTAAATGACTAAACTCCATAATAATAAGACAACACCTCCACAATTTGGCTGTCCCAACTACGTTCTTTTCGACTGTATTAGCATCATTACTATTACCTTTTTTTAAATGCTGGAACAATTCGTGTTAATTAGAAAGGCTCTCTGTGTTAATCTCTTGAGTGACGTAAGTTACAAAAATGGTAGTTGATACAAAAATCGATTTCAATTTTCCACAGTATGACTTCTCAAGAAACGTCAGCCCACTTACAGTTTCTATGGTCAGCTTCGCATACTGTTTTGTCGACAGTACCTTCATTGTCCGCGTTCTATTTATCTCGGTTTAATCAGATAGCTGTCGAAAAGAACCTAAAACTCGCTGGAGCAATCAAGAGAGTTTATTGTAATTATTGTGGAACTATCTTTGTACCTGGTCTTAACTCTCAGGTTAGCATTGAGAAAGATAGACGACGGCGCAATAAACGCCGTAAAGTTAAGACACAATTTGATCCAACCACATCGACTGTATTGGAATCTGTTGAGACGAGCAGCCACCCGACGTCTTTAAAAGAATGCGTTTCAATCAACAAGACAAAGCCATCTGACACGGCACACAGAATCCATTACGAAACTTTGAATTATAATACCGACAATACTCGCTCCAGAAATTATGTATCTTACTTCTGTCGTATATGCAAGACCGAAACTCGCATCCACGGTAGCGCACGCCACAGTCCCAGACAAACAGACAAACCGGATGAGCGACAAGCTGAAATAAGTGTCAACACTAGTAGTAACAAAAGATCAAGTCTCGTGCAACGGAATATCGCACATGGAACGAAAGTAAAAAGGAAGAAGCAGAAATTGGATCTTCAGCGGCTATTAGCAAATAACGAAAAGAAGGAAGGCGGTAGAGGAAGTGATGGTGACAAGGGAGCTTCTCTATCGTTGACTGATTTTTTATCATCTCTGTAAAAGGATCGTTGCATTACAAAGACAATCTAATGGTAAGTCTACTTATTGCTGTTATGAGTTCGAGTAATAACTATCTTATCAGATTTTTCCTGCTAGATCGATAATCATCATAATGGCGATATTAGCAAGGGGCTACCGAATTAAATGCTTCATTCGCCCCGTGACATGAATTTGTCCCCTTGGGTAAAGCAAGATTTGTTCTCATCGCGTATTTCCCCCCACCCCCGCTATTTCCACGCCGTCGCCATAATAAACAGGTCGGAGATGGTGATATTCGAGCTGGATTTTAAGAAAATAACCATTGTTAGGGAAATGGCCGCCTCTGGACAACGTTAGAGTGTAGCTAGTAAACAATCAAAAGAATGTATATAAGCAGTTTGAACATCGCTATAGCAAATGATATCATAATCTTCAGATCGTTCCTTCTAATAAATTGCCCCATTCCATTTATGTGTAATCGTACTGGAGAACGTATAAATAGGCTATTAATAGTAGTAATAGAAACAGTCGTGACAAATAACCCAAGGATTAATAGCTACAAAGTACAACTATAACACTATGTAACAAGAATATTAGATTAACCCATATTGTTTCTTGCCTTCTTTGAAACGAGTTTACGTATAGTCCTTTAACTGTTCTTGTAACACGTCTCGCATTTTTCCTACAGCCTGATTGATGGCTATTTGGGACACTTTAATCTGTTTAGAATGGTGTTCATATACATGTTTGCGCATTCTGTTGGAGATGGACAAATTAATCTCATTAGTCACCTCATCAGAGGTTAAAATATGATAATAGTGGGGTGGACGTGAGATTTGTAAAAATATAATTCTTAAAGTTGTGGAAGGAAGATCGAACTGTCTTTCGGGTCTATTTTTCCAGAGCCCAATCGGTTAACAAGTTCGGAGAGTGGTAATTTCTCATTGTCAACTTCCATGTTTGCTCCAATGTCGTTGATACTATTCAAGTTTCTAAATTCTGCAATAGAAGAAGCGAGATTAATTGATGGAATACGAGTGAATGGCTCTTTTTGGAAGGCTGAAGAAACAGAAGAGGTTTTCGAAGAGGATCGCATATAATCCTGGATTTGCCTAGAATTCAAAATTTTTTTAGTTGATTAAAATTTTAAATCGTAAATTTTATCTTACATTGTCTGCTCTATCATTTTTGCGGGTTAGTTTTCCTCCAAACCCTCTGATATAAAAGCCTTAGGGTTTTCACATTGTTTTTCTAATCGGGAGCAAACCATTCGCACTATCCAAAAACTTTTATTCAATAAAGTTGACTTGTTACAGTCAGCTCTGGTTATAAGAACCACATTTGTCCCAGTATGTTTTTCCGAAAAAAAAGTTCTTATATCCAGCGACACATATAAATGTTCTTATAATCAGAGAAATTATTTAGTAATTTGGAAATCTGTTCCAATGACTCATGTTCTTATAACCAGAGTTGACTGTATTTTGATTTCTGATATAACAGCCCGCATGCCGTAAAGAATGCTAATAGACTTCAATTTTTAGACATTTCTTTACAAAGTTGCGGAAACTTTCATGGTTGTGCTTACAACCAAATGCAACTCATGCAGTTTTTACCACTACATGCTATATCAATAACCGCCAACAAACTCCTGCATACAAATGGTTCAAACCAAATGACAAAAATTGCTCTCCGAAACCAATCAAAGAGGAAATTGGACGATATCGGTTTCTCCAAACTGTGTTGCAAAGTCGAGGGTGAATCGAAGACCTGGGGCCGGGTACCATCAGAGCGTCCGAAAGCGGAGAATTTTAAAGTGATAAATTACCGTTATGGATACAAATAAGAGAGAATTTGTGAGGAAGTTTGCGAAAACATCTGGCCTAGCGATAAGGACACCGTGTCGCGTTTATCACATATTAATATGCGATTTGTCCCCGATCGGCGGGGTGCATCATATCCGATGTTGATCACTTCCACAAGAAATTGTTTATTAAGCGCCAAAGGCACCAGGCTCTTCTCAGAGCGTCAGAAATCACGTCCGTCTTTGCCACCGACGATAGGGGGATCACACATCCTTGACATCTATGCTCAAGGTCTGACGCTCGCCTCAGACTTATGTGCTGGGTGTTCCTATCTCGGAGGAACGCGGGACGCTAGCCTCCTTGCACTTCCCCTAAGGTCTGACGCTCGCCTCAGATTTATGCGCTCGCCCGGGGGGTGCTCGCGTTCCGTCAGGTGCGGACGACCAGAGGTGTCGCTGTTATGAACACATGATTCTTTTTTTTTTCTGTTCCCATTCCATCGGTGCTCGGAGACTAAGTTAACTACCCAATTACACATTACATGAATTTGATGAGGTATACGGTATAGCGCATAGAGCAACATATCTCAGAAACGATCATTTAATAGCGTAGCTCTGCGCGCGGTTAAGTTAATGGACGTCCGGGCATTGTCCTACCCAGCTGCGCACTCTATATTCAGCAACCACAGTTAAAAAAAAACACGTTGCAACCGTCCTTTGCCACTCAGTCCCCCCCCCCCCCCCCCCCCCCCCCTCTCCCCCCCCCCCCCCCCCACCACAACCCACCGCTACATCAATACACCCACCTCACACGCATCAT